GACAGTTGTCAGCAGCCGACAGACACAACTATAGAACACTGGTGTTGGCTCTAGAACTCAGGTACGGAACCCAAAACTAGTCAGAAGTCTACAGGGCCAGGTTCAGGGCGACAGTCCGTGCTAAAGGGGAGAGCCTGCAAGAGCTGGCACAGGACTTGGAAAGCATGGCACACAAGACCTACCCAACTGCACCACCCGATCTCCTCAAGTTATTGCTGAGGGATCAGTTCGTAGATGCCTTGGACAGTCCACAACTTAAGATACAAGTGAAGGATGCAATGGCCAGAGCTCTCGAATTTGAATCCTACGTTAAGTCCAGCACAGAGGTACCAAGGTTGGTACAGTCATCTGGATTCAAGGCCAGAAAAGGTCAGCATTCAGAGAAGTTTGAGGGACTTTGCTGGCACTGTAACAAACCTGGGCACAAGAAAGCTCAATGCTGGAAACTTCAGCACAGGGGAGATGATACAGCAGGAAAGGCTGCTACCCAGAAAGGCTGTTGGAACTGTGGGGAGCAAGACATATAAGGAGCCAGTGTAAGAAAAATACCACCAATAAGTCAGCTTCGGGAAACCAGTAGTGGTTGGTGCTAAGGGACGCCCACCAGCCTCCATCGTGAAAGTCCCAACAACTAAGTGTAAAATGGCAAGCACACATAGTATCTACGTGACAGGGAAGCTGGATGGCCAAAGGTGCAACTTTGTCATAGATTCTGCATTTCAGCAAACACTTGTGAGCATCAAAATGCTGGATAACAAATGAGTACCAGAAGCTGTACAGAAGCTCTGTGGTGTGACAGGACATTCTGCAGGGTTGTGGGGACCAGTTTGGGTAACTATCGAGCTCATAGGCATGAAAAACAGACAGAAAGTATACTTGGCTGACGTTGAAGACCAATGTATATTAGGATTGGACTGTCTATTACCGAGGAAGTGTGTGGTTGACTTCGATAAAATGACGATTGGAAACAACAAAGTCCAGACTCCAGTAAGTGTTGCTACATCTGTTGATCTGCATGTCGCAGCACTTAAATCAAATACAATACCCCTATGTCAGAGAAGATAATTTGGGGTAAGATAAAAGAACATCTCCATGGGAGCCCAATGCTTGTAGAGGCAGTGGAAGACCCATCCAGGCCAGCGGATTTGAAGATCGGAAGGTCACTTGTAGCGGGTCGTCAAGTAGTACCTATAACAGTGGACAATTCCTCTAAATGTGAGCAGACACTTAAAGAAGGGGCATTGTTGGTTGTGTGCCAGGAGGTAGAGCCACTCAATGTTAAAGCAAGGAATGCAACTGTGAAGAAAGGACATT